CCAACAGCGAAATGTTATTCATGTTTCTCTGCTACTCATGATGGGCTCTCATGCATAGATTTTGGCCTTGGGAGCTCGATTATCCTGCCATATGTGTTTGATGCTGTGTATGAACCCAGGGCTCTGTCTGACCAAGCCCTTTTCTGGGTCAAGCTATACCCGGTCTCGTTCCCTGTAGAAGGTGAACCCATTTTGGTTGGCGCTGTCACCGGAGTCCGAATTGATTCCGGGGGAGTTGTCAGACTTTCTGCAGCAGAATGAAGGCCTGTCCCAGCCAGGAATAGTTTGGGATGATACGCTGAAGGCCTTCCTAAGGGGCTTGATTATCCAGGAGATTTCAGCAGCTAAGCGTAGATCCAGGGAGTGGGAGGAGAAGGTACAGTTAGATATTCAACAGCGGAAGATCGAGATGATCCAAGACCCAAGCCCCTGTAACTGCACCTCCTGGAAAGAGGCCCAGTCCCTTTATGAATCAGTGCTTATGAATCAGCACCTTCTTGCTCTCACAACAAGGGGTGTCCACTATAGACAAGATTGAGGTTGCTGATGGAGTGATTTGCATGAGCCATGCGGAAATCCTGAGAGTTTTTCATCACTTTTACGACGATCTGTATGCTTCAAAAACTGTAGCCACCTATTCTGAGCTTTTGCAGTTTCTAGACACCTGCTCTTTTCCTGTTTTATCGGAGACTGACCAGAGAGAACTGGAGATGCCAATTACTGTTGAGCTGTCTGAAGCTTTGGCAGGCACACCCAGTAATAAATCTCCAGGTTCAGACGGATTGCCATTCGAAATGTATAATAGATACGGTGAACAACTCCTCCCAGCATTGATCCATGCCCTGAATGCTGCAATAGATGGAAATGGTTTGCCCCCCTCCATGAATGAAGCTGGTATTATAGTACTAGTGAAGCCTGGAAAAAGATAGATTAAAACCTGATTCCTACCAACCTATTTCCCTTCTGAATACGGACGCTAAATTGTTGGCCTGGGTTCTAGCTACTAGACTGGTGCGAATTATTGGTAATAATGTACATAAAGATCAGTCGGGGTTTATATTCCTTCTAGAGCGACGGCTAATAATAATCACAGACTTTTTTGAATTTGCAAATTCCAGTCCTGGGGGGGTCGGGGCAATTTTATCTTTGGATCCTGAGCCTAGACCAGTGATGGCGAACCTTTTTGAGCCCGAGTGCCCAAACTGCAACCCAAAACCAACTTATTTCTTTCAAAGTGCCAACACTGCAATGAAAGCTGAATATCGAGCTTTTGGTTTAGAAAAAAAACAACTCGTACAGTAGTGCAAACTAATTAACAGTACAATGATGACCAGAGACTGCGGACACAGTACAGGGATGACCAGAGACTGCGGACACAGTACAGGGATGACCAGAGACTGCGGACACAGTACAGGGATGACCAGAGACTGCGGACACAGTACAGGGATGACCAGAGACTGCAGACACAGTACAGGGATGACCAGAGACTGCGGACACAGTACAGGGATGACCAGAGACTGCGGACACAGTACAGGGATGACCAGAGACTGCGGACACAGTACAGGGATGACCAGAGACTGCGGACACAGTACAGGAGATGACCAGAGACTGCGGACATAGTACAGGAGATGACCAGAGACTGCGGACACAGTACAGGGATGACCAGAGACTGCGGACACAGTACAGGGATGACCAGAGACTGCGGACACAGTACAGGAGATGACCAGAGACTGCGGACACAGTACAGGAGATGACCAGAGACTGCGGACACAGTACAGATGACCAGAGACTGCAGACACAGTACAGGAGATGACCAGAGACTGCAGACACAGTACAGGAGATGACCAGAGACTGCAGACACAGTACAGGAGATGACCAGAGACTGCAGACACAGTACAGGAGATGACCAGAGACTGCGGACAGTACAGGGATGACCAGAGACTGCGGACACAGTACAGGGATGACCAGAGACTGCGGACAGTACAGGAGATGACCAGAGACTGCGGAAAGCACAGGGATGACCAGAGACTGCGGACAGTACAGATGACTGCTGACCTTTGGGGAGGGAGGGGGAGCGGGTACCTGAATTTGACAGGTACCCGCTCTTACTTCCGCAGAGTTTTTTTTTTATCTTACCTGTTCCTTTATCCAGCCACGCGCTGTCTTCCCGGCTTCTGTAGTGTGGGCGCTCGTCGGACAGCCGGATGCCCAGTGCGCATGCGCGAGAAGCGCTGCGCTTTGTGATTGGTCCGGCGGCTTCTGGGATCTGTCATGTGTCCCGGGTACCGCCTTACCATTCACAAAGAGCACTGCTTCTTGCACATGCGCACTTGGGACCCGGCTGTCACGCACACTACAGAAGCCGGGAAGACAGCGTGCCGCTGGATAGAGGGACAGGTACGGTCCCACTGAAGAGCTGAGCGGCCGGCCCGGTATTCTGACACGGCGGCGGTGGAAATACCGGACCGGCCGCTCTATATTCGCTCCATAAGACGCACTGACATTTTCCCCCCTTTTTTGGGGGAAAAAAAGTGCGTCTTAGGGAGCGAAAAATACGGTATTCTCCTGGCGTGCCCACAGATAAGGCTCGGCGTGCCGGCTGTGGCACGCGTGCCACGGGTTCGCCATCACTGGCCTAGACTTTATTTTCTGGCGGCCCAATTGCAGCAACTGGTTGGCTGGGATTCGCCTGATAATACTGATCCTATTATAAGTTTGATTTCCCTTCCTGTTTCCACCATTTCGGCTTTCTCATCTTGAGATGGCTCTACCGGTCCTTCCATCCATGGCTCCATTTCGGGATCTGCGTATCCACATTGTTCAATTTACTTGTAATCCTGTTATTGCAGTAATGTCATTGTGGATTCTGTAAGTACTGTTCCATTTTCTTTATTATTTTGACAAAAGTTGTTTGGATTTTAAAAAAAAAAATTGGGTATGCAATGTAAATGGGAACACACAACAAACACATAGCGAGGTGGTCTAAAATTTGACTACAAAAGTGGAAATGCAATTTAAAGTAGAACTATGTAAGCAAAACTACTTATGTTTTGGATAGAGTAAAGGAGGTTATAACCACTGTCCTTATTTTCTTTTTTTTTTGCCAGCTGTGTCCTATTGGAGAGATTTACCGTTCCTTCCTGTCCCATAGCTACAGGAAGTGAGAGAGAATCCCTGCAAATTAAGGGAATCCCCAGGTCACCAGGACTAGTGTCTCCATTACAGGATTACCCCACTGTTACTTTTCTGGGGACAACCCAAAAATTTGAGGTTTTGTTTTACTTTGTTTGATGATAACTGTAAACAAAACAAATAGAGAGGGTGAATCTCCCTAATGGGGGACACAGCAGTAAAAACCAAATAGGTGTTCTAATTCCTCTCTCTGTCCAAAGCTAAAAAAAAAAAAAAAGTGTTTGCCTTTGTTTTTCGTCTAGTGTAGAGAACTTCTCTTCAGGCAGCCCTCCAGAAACCAAGGGCCATACAACAACTTGTATCCAAAACACAGCTTAGAGGTATATGGAGGAAAGCAAATTTACATACAATATACAGTAAAATGCTTGGTATTCGAAGGAGCTATCTTCATCAAGGCTACAAAAAAAATTGCATTAAAACATTATATACACAAAAATTCTAATGTAATTTAGATAAAACTCATAAACTCATTCTACGCTTCTCATTGTTGACTCTTTACTCTATACACCTCTAAGCTCTTCTAGTAACATTTTCACTTTCTGTTTCAGTAACAATGGTCACCAGATGAAATTAAATAAAATAAAGAGGGAGAATCTCCCCAACAGGGACACATACAGCAATAAAAACTTATAAACAAAGGTGCAGTGCTAGTATATGAACTAATATTCGATGCCATGAATAATAAAGTCCGAAAGAAAAATTGTAGTGTCCAAGAATGTGTGAATCAATGGTGATCAGTGATGTGAAGTGACATCTGTGGCAATCCTCCACCACTATGTACTCACCAGATGGTCTATATGGGCATTCCTGGAAATGGACCTCCCTTCGATCCAAATATGGCACATCTTGAAAGGAGCTCACATAACAGAGCCCAAAGTCAACGGCATATAGTGTAGTATTTTATTTAAAATTACAAAGCAGCCAAATGGAGCATAAAACAACAAAACAAACACGATGATGGCCGCCGGGCCATCACATGGACTCGGCGGCATGACGTCTGCACGTAGGCTCCTTACTGATGCGTTTCGTGCACACGCACGTTCTCAAAGGGGCTCGCCTCATACTGACGGCAATACATGCAGTGCATGACTTAAATACCCTACGGCGTGTGGACGAGCGGGCACCATTTTCTTGAAGACCAGGAAGAAAATGGCACCCGCTCGTCTGCGCGCCTGAGGGCTATTTAAGCATGTGCCACATTTGGATCGATCGTTGACCGGTGCAGGGAAGGTCCATTTCCAGGAATGCCCATATACAGCCCATTTCACAGTGGATGTCATTTGGGTATTTCTGTATTTCCTGCAGTGGAAAAGATACATCTTTTGGAGGGATTTCCATACAGAGCCTGTTTATTTCTTGCTTCTGGTGTGTGCATAGTGGTGGAGGATTGTCACAAGTGTCACTTCACATGATCACCACTGATTCACACATTATTGTTGGACACTGCAATTTTTATTTTGGACTTATTATTCATGACATCGAATATTAGGTCACACATTTGTCTTTTGTTCATATACTAGCGCTGCACCTTTGTTTATGTGTTTCTTATTCAGTGGAATAGGAGGGTTTGCCACTTTGTGCTAGCTGCTTGCTCACTTATTTTTTTGCGCTCACTACACATTTATTTTCGCAATAAAAACTTGGAATGGTTTCTAATCCTTCCCTACTTTAATAAAAACAAAAAACGTTTAGCTATACTTTGAGCTGTAACCATATGAATAGTTACGTAAACAGACTATATTCCTTTAAATTGTTATAAGGTTGTTTCTACAAATATAAAGTGATTAGATATGACATTTATGTTGTAGAGGGAGATCTTATGGATTGTGATGTGAAGTCAGACTCTAGTCCTGAGCGAGAACCTGTTGATGATGATTCTAAGGGTGCAGAAGTGATGGATGGAATGAAGAAAAGGAAAAGAAAACCATACAGACCTGGTATTACTGTTTTACCTGTCTTAAAGTTGATTACTTAATCTGAAAAAATATGAATTATAACATCTGAATATTTCATATTTAGCCCTTGCAGCCAGCAGATAACAAGCTGCAAGATCAACAGTTCCTCAGATGATTTTACAGCCCTGCTGCGAAATATATTTTAAAAGTAGTAGAGATCAGAATATCTGCATAATGGCTTAGAAGTGGCATTCACCCCCTACCTTTTTTATATTTTTAAATAAATCAGAGATGGAACTGCCTTTTTTTTTTTTTTTTTTTTTTTTTTTTTTTTTTTTTTAATATATGGTTACTCACAAACCTGCAGTCAGTGCTGGACTTTCTTTGAAAGCTCACTGTACTATCTAATATCATTCAATTACTAATAATAAATGGTGTAGCGCTAATCTATAGTGAATCAGTGAATCATATATTAGAAACCAAGGTACTTAAACCATAAATAAATGTGCATATAACACCACAAACTGCAGAGAATAATCCTGTGGTGAGAAATACAAGCAAAGTGCGTATACTAAATCCAAAGAGTAAAATAAATAAATGAATGATATATAATGCACTCACATAAATACCGTTAATAAATGGTAAAGTGACATAAAAAACAACTCAAACTTGAAGCAACAGAATCCACATAATGAAAAAAATCACAAACATGAAGGCATGACAAAAAAATGTGACACAAATGATAGTGCATCGAAAAAGTCACTTTCATTATTGTGATAACAAACAATGTGACCTATAGGTGATGGCCAAGTGAGGGAAACTTAAATAACCCAAAAATATATGGTTAAAAAAACCAACAATATAAAAAAACACAGAAAAGTCCAAAAACAGTCCCAAGTACTGAACAAAAAGTTTTGGTGTAAACTATATTATTGGGTTATTTATTTATGTTTCCCTCACTTAGCTATCACCTATAGGTCACATTGTTTATCACAATATTGAAAGTGAATTCACTATCATTTGTGTCACATTTATTGTCATGCCATCACATTTGTGATTTTTTTCATTATGTCGATTCTGTTGCTTCACGTCTTGAGTTGTTTATGTCACTTTACCGTTTATTAGCAGTATTTATGTTAGTGCATTACATATCATTAAGTTATTTATTTTGCACTTTGGATTTAGTATACGCACATTGCTTATATTTCTCACCACAGGATTTTTCTCTGCGGTCTGTGGTGTTATATGCAATTAAAAAAATAAAATAATTAAATATATATGTGTTGTATGCAACCATTTATGGTTTAAGTACCTTGGTTTCGAATATATGATTCACTGATTATTCACTATAAATTAGCGCTACACCATTTATTATTAGTTATTGTGTTTTATTTAACCATTAGAGCTGGGTGTTAGCAGCTACTTTGCTCTTAGTTCCTTTCTTGGCAGCGCAGCAGGTTTTCTCTTTATTTTATCTAATATCATTGATACAGCCTGTATAAAATGTATACAAAATAAAGATTTTTCACAAGCAATTTAAAAAAAAGTCCTGTATGAATAACGTGATACAAATGAAACTGACCAAAAACACATTTAACACTGTGTGTGGCAAAGGTTATCATTCTGCAATCAAGAGAAAGTTAGCATATGTAAATTTGTCGCATCACCATTGATGTCTTTTACGTTAAGGTTTCTTGAAGCTATTAACATCAGTTTTCAACCATTGATTACTGTTGTTGAACAGTAAATCCTTTACACAAATTAACGTATCCACTACTTTCTCTTGAAAACTCTGTTCATTTAAATAGTCATATTTTGTATTGTGATTGAAGACAGGTACATTATTATCAGAATGTTTTTATATCAGAATTTCTGCATTCATGGAAGAAGTTTAATTTATTAAAATTCGGACAAACCTTAGAAAACGAGATAAATAAGATAAACTGATCAGTGTAACCTCCCTCCAGGTATTGGTGGATTTATGGTGCGCCAAAGAAGCCGAACAGGTCAAGGGAAATCCAAGAGATCTCTTTCCAGAAAAGATTCTTCTGGCTCAGTTTCTGAACTTGTGCCAGGCAAAGATGATGGTACGTCCATTTTTATGCTACATTATCGTAGTAAGCCTAGCACACACGTGGCGCTTGTTTATTAAAATGTCTAAAATAACTGCCTGTGTTGCCTCCTAGCAACCAACCAGATTCAAGCTTTCATTTTCCCTGAAGGTTTGATTCTGGCTAGTTGTTGTGAGGCAGTGCAAACTGGCTGTGCGAAAGTGGTTTTCCAGGACAAATGGAGATTCCCTATTTGATTTAGTAAAAATTGATGGGGGTGGTCTGCACCTCCCACAGAACACTTGTAAATATGTGGTTTGTTACATTATTTTACAGACTGGAGGCAGACCAGTGACTCCCACAGAGGCGGTGGCACTGAAATTTCCAGTTGTCACTCTCTGGGATGGGTTCCACTCTATTGCACAAACAAAAGAACCAAACAGGATTTCCTGTTATCCTGGAAAGCACCTGTGAGGACACTTTAATAAATGAAGCCGCATGAATTTTAATGCTGGAAAGTTATCAGTGTTTCCCTGTGCAGTGAGCTGTAGATCTGTGTGGCATTTCTGGTGTGCTGAATGTCTTTCCTATTAGTACAACATAGCACAGCGCTGTCTGCTATCTGCTACTATTAAATATTTTCAAGGTAATCATTTGTCTTCGACGTCTGACTAATTTTGCCATTTGCTATGATGTAGACATACAATTTGTCTTTTTCTAAATGATGTTCTGTGTACATCCTAAGCCTGGAATGAACCACTGCCTGATACTCCAATGGATGAATTAGCCCCTAGCTCCGAGAACACCGAAAAAATTAGAAAACGCTACCGGAAAAAGAAAAACAAACTTGAGGAAACCTTCCCAACATATCTGCAGGTAATTGCAAGTTTTGTTTTTTTAATACATTTTGAACAATTCAAAAAACGTTTAGCACACTGAAACCATAGACAAGCATTTAGCATGCTTCTCTGCCCAGTCTAAAATGTGAGAACAAAAGAAACTACAGGTTCACTGTCCTTTAGGTAGGAGAACTTTGCTGTTTGCTAAAGGAAGGTGAAATATTGCTGGACATTTACAGGAAGCAAAGTGGTTGATCTTTATTAAAATATCAAAGTACTGAAAGCCAGCATAATTTGAGTCATGCACAGCCTTCATCAGGGTTATAACGAGTGTGTCTGTATATCTTAGTAATGAAAATACTCATGGGGGGGATGGATGATCCATGTTCACTAGTGTGAATAAACTCTTAAGGGTCTATTTATAAAACGTCTTACCATGCATGCAATAGTCATGGATAATACCTGTCATATATTTGAAATGTCAGTTTATATTTGTTGCCTTTTGCAGGCTGAGAGTAACCCAAGCATTCAGTCTTAAGAGGGAAAAAAGTCTTATGCTAAGCTGTGTCTACACTGCGACACCTCTGAAAAGCCATCCACATTAGGATTGCTTTTCAGAGGCATTTTGACAGGCATTGAGGTTATAATGTTGCCACCTCTCTGCCCATTTTAACCCTGTAAATGCCAAACCAATGCCCCACAGCAGCATGCAGTTGCTGGTTGTTTGCAGCATGTCCCTATTTACTTTATTGGGTCACATTTGACAGCAGTGCCATCCACCAAACAAGGCAGGGGTGATCATTTTTGCTGCAGACACGAAGCAAAGTATTTTAACTGCGACATGTGAACCCCCATTTTCTGCTTTTGCAGCTTAAGGGGGGTGCCAAAAACGCTGCCCAACCGTTTAATGCTCCTTGACAAACCCTTAATAACCTGCAACCAGAAGTGTTAAAGAATATTTGACCAATAGAAAAAATAGCCTAATGCCATAGGCTAAAACATTTGACCAGAAGAGGAAATCATATGATGGAGACTTCTGCACCGAGTACAAAGTGTATGGAGATTCCTTTGCTCACCACTGACATTTTATTAAAACAGCTACTGCAGAATCAACTGCTATACTGAATTGATACACTGGTGCAGAGATCGAACTCCATTTTTTACCTTATGTAATCTGTAGCTCATCTGTGAATGTTTAATTCTGGTAGATTTATAAATCAAGAGAGTTCTGTCACTGCAACATTATATCATTTCTGTATAGCAGTTCTCTTTCTGCAGTAGCTGATTCATTAGGTCTTATGCACACAGGGTGTTTGTCCAACTCTCCTAGACGTCTTTCCTCCTGGTAGCGACATTTTGGCAGAAAAATGCAAGATGCTTGTAAACTCATGTAATGCGTTAAGATGCTTCAAGTGCTTTAATTTCTTTTTATAAGCCGGAATAATAATTTATCCTGGCCATTGAAATGAATGCTCGCACGCCTAGCGTTAATGCGTCAAGCCTTTTTTCCTGCCAAACGCTGTTCCTGGACGCACTGGCATTGTTTTGTTTTCTGCTTCTAAACACCTATGTGTGCATGGACACATAGGGTAACATGCAGAGCATTCAGAGGTAGAACAAAAACACTGCCGAACGCCCAGTGTGGTCCATAGCCCTATACTGTACGTGATGATGTCAAGGGACAGTCCACCACTGGAGAGCGGGGTAACGCCGTCTGCTGGGGGAGCGAAGGTTAAGGTAAGTTAAAGCTTTCCTGTCCCCTAGACTAAGCAGTCAACCTTGCAGTGCAGGTGAAAACCATTGATTTAAATAATACCCGTTCATCCTGTCATGCAGGTCCTTTTTTTAGGTACTTTCTGTTATAAGGTTCAAACTCTGTCCCAGTCTCCCAATTGTTTTCCTTTGTTACCTTGTTACACAGGCTTTTTTAGTGAATACAAGTGTCCATTTTAACACCAGTATGGAGCACTGTTGTCACCATCAAGAAATCCGCCTTGGAAACTACCACTTAGCCATAAATAGAGTGCATGTTTGCAGACAGTAAGAGGTTGCAAGAGATCAGTATAACTGAGGTTTGTAACAGAATTAGAAATGGAAAACAGGTATTTGTTTTCTGCAAGTGCTTTAACAAACTAAATGTCCATCTGCTATAAATGCATATCTGAATGGCTCCACTGTAATAAAATGGATCCTAACCCTGACACTTTTGTAGAATTGCCCCATACACACTCATGCTGTTTTCTCTAAATTGTTTCCATGTGCTGTATATAACGTGGGTTATTACAATGATAAGAAAGTTATAATTGCACTCGTTATCCAACTTCAATGTCACCATTTGAAAAGCAACGATTCTTTTGCCATATCTGAAGTGCAGTTTTTTTACCTGATAATTGTTTTATGTAGGAGTTTGATTTATCCTAAACAATTTAGGTGGTTTTAGTTAATATACTGTGTCAATCTTTTTCACAGGAAGCTTTTTTTGGAAAAAATCTTTTGGATACCAGTCGACAAAACAAGCCGAGCATTGAGAATTTGTCTGAGGATACTGCTCAACTGCCATACAAAGCCAACATTAATGCTACCTTTCTGGATCCATCATCTGACCCCCTGCTTAGCTCTGCTGCAACTCCCTCCAAAGCCACAGATGGTAAGGATGAGCAGTCATATCAATCAAGTGTGAATAACAGGGAGCCTGCTTAGTAGCCCATTTACACCAGAAGCATAATATCTTGCATTTCAGGTTTCAAAGCATGTTATGGATTTTTTTTCTTGCTCAGTCTTTTTTTATTGAAAGTGGTGTTCAAAAGTGTGCAGATATTGCATAGTTAAGCATTTGTACAGAGAATACAGTTGTGTGAGCTTTGGATGGTATAAACATCATGAGGCTAATGATGGTGGTGTCATATAGTGCAGTCAATTTAATAGACATAAAAGGTATAATGGAGAGGAAGAGGGGGGTCTTTCAAAGGTAACTTTGTGGTAAGTAGGAGATAAAACTAAGAGTAGATGAGTACATGGGAAACAATTGCTGAAAAAGAGTTTGTAAGATTCTGGTTACTTGTAACCATAATATTTGGGTAATGGGACACAATCAATAGGTATGTAAGAGTGTGCCTATTTTGGAAGAGCCTCGGATACATGTAGGAGGGTTGCTAGGGTTTACATACACCAGATGGCTAGCTACCATGTACCACCAAAGCAGCACTTTACAAATTAGTCTTCACCACTGTAGAAGTGCGTGAGCAGGATTTATTGGTATTTCAAATTTCCAAAAAAATGTTGCAGTTCTATTCCTAAGTCCAATTCCCTTTTTTCAGGCATAATTAAAATGTGTTGGGGTATATTTAGATATCAAGGTGCTATAGGGTAATAAAACATACCCTGGAGAGTGTGGTTTGTCAGTTTTTTGCCCGATAAATAAGTAGTAATAGACCTTGTGTTTGACTTTAGATATCAAATAATTCAGAACCGGGTAAGTGGTAGTCTTTTTGTAAATTTTGGGAAAGGTTTCAAACCTTTTGGAATAAGCAGTCGATCCAGTGTTTGAAATCACTTGATTAATAATTTCCTGAGAGAAATGATGGGTTGATGTGGGGAAAGTAGGCAGCCAAAATATCCCTTGGGCAAAGGGGAATGTCTGATGATAGGATTTGAGAGAGGGCGTTTCTGTCACGAGGGTGGAACCAAAGAAGATTATGTATGAATAAATGGTCACAGTCAACAGCCTCTAGGATGACCCAGAATAGTGTTGGTCTGCTTGATAGTATTGTACTAGTTGGTCTGCTTGACAGTATTGTGGGAGATTTGGGACACCTAGGCCCACATTAGGTCTAGTTTGAAACATAATGTGCTTGGAAAGTCTTGGTTTGCAATTCAGTCAAAGTACATTACGTGGCTTCAAAGCCAGGTGGGCCTATGGCTTCTCGTCCAGGATACACACGCACACACACACACACACGCCCAAGAGAGCACCAATACATAGTATTGTACATAAGGAATTTATGCAGATTTGGCAGAGAGACACGTGGATTAGTAATTGTGAGATTACCATCATCTGTAAAAACGCTTCATTTATATTGTTGCCCAGCTATACACACACCAGGTATATTGGGGAAAGCTTTTTTAAGCTGTGCCAGGAGCTCAGTCACCAAGGTGAATAAGAGTGGAGATAATGGGCAGTGCTGTCTAAGGCCAAAGCCTAATTTTCTAGAGTATAAAAGATATATGGCCAGAGCAGTCAAAGGCCATTCAAATATCAAGCAACAAAAGCATGCGTGGAATGTCTTTCCATTTTCAATCTTCAGTTAGAAGAGACAGTTTGCAGATGCTAGTCCTTGTCTGGTTGGCATGAACCCCTCTAGTCCTGATAAACGGGTCCCTCTACACTTTGATTTAGCTTGATCACCAAGATTTTGGATGAGTTTTGTCTCGACATTCAGTAGACTTAAGTGTCTGCTGAAAATTATTACCTCCTCCCTCCTTATGCCTATTCTGCATACCGTTTGTAAAAGAAATGGGTGTAAATACCATTTTTTTTTTTTTAGATCAGCTTTGGTTCTGTCACATGAAGCTGAATGCCCCCTGTGTCAGGGAGTCTCGACAACAGGACTGAATTCAGTCGTGATGTTACCTGCTGGCTTCCATTGCTCCCCATTCCCCCATTGTTGGCGCTCCCTCGAAGTGTTAAAAAAAAAAAAAAAAAAAAAAAAAAGGGCTGTTTACTCTGCTCTCTTTTACAAACTGCAGCCTAGGAATGAGAAGGGAAAGGCAATGCATGTTTATTAGCCTTTGCTTCTACTTTGGTATATTGCAGTTTACCAATCCTTAGAAGTGGTAGCTTAATTTCTTCTACCACACTGTATCTATGGAACAGCGTTGTCACCCTAGGTTTTTTTTCCTGATTTGGACTACAGGCACTTCCCCGTTCTCATCTCAATTACATAGGGAGGGGTTATATAGGGCACTGAAGAAAGCTGATAACATTGTTTGAGAGTTCAGTATGCAAGAAGTTACAAAAACATGGATTTCTATCAGGGTCAACAGCTTTTTTTTCTGTATTTGCAGAAAATGTACTTAGCTGGAAAAAAAGAAAACTAATGCAGCCTCCACATCTAAGGACTGGTAAGCTGCAAAATATATTTTTGTTCTTGGGTTTAAATATGCTTTAACCTCATCTGCAGGCCTACTACTGCTTCCTCATTTGATCATGTAGAGACACAAATAATAAGCGCTTATGTGCCAGTTTTGAAGCTTTGCAGTGCCTTTAATTTTTTTTTGGCTTTAGATTCTGCATCTTCAAGGCCTTTTTTAAATCTTTTTTTATACTTTTTTGCACACATTTATCCTATTTGACCAGCTTTCACAAACTGCTGGTTTTGGCCAAATCCTTAGGCTTATATTAATTTTTATATGGTTAAATTAATGTCCTTATTAATAAAAACTAGTGAAAACTGGTAATTTTAAGTAAGCCTGATCCTTTGAGGACACTGTAGGGTACACTGTATGTTTTTATTGTTTTACCTGTGAAAGCGTTTGCAATTCTGTGTGACAAGACTTGTGATTCACACACATGCAACACTTCACCGTTAGTAAACAAAGTAAATCCACCATCTCACAGTGCACTGGGTCTAGTAGAACTTAATGAAATACCAGTGTGACATTTCAATAAAGTTTGTTTAAACATAAAAAAATGCAGTGGGTCGTGATTGGCACTGCCTGCATCCTACCTGTGAGCAAGCCCTTGAAGATGACCTATTCTGTGGAAGCTGTGCCCAAAAAATGCTCTCAAAAAATGTCACTAGTCCCCAGTATTCCCTTTAGGCTCCCTGTAGTTGATCTTTTCCCCATACTTACTTGCCATGTCCTGTTCCACACTATATCTGTGTAGAACCTGCCATCTTGGTAGTGGACAGGGCTTTGGTTCCTCATATCAGAGCTTACACCATAATGACAGGTGATGTGATAACTGGTGGGGTGATGATCAAGAAGCAGCAGGAGAATTAGAAAAAAAAACCCACAATGAATAAAACAGAAGCAATTAGATCCTTGCACCACAGGTCCTCAGGTACAGCTTTCTCTCCAACCAAGAGAACAGTGACTAGTACAGTAGTGACATCACCAAATCTGACTCCAAATCCTGTTAGACTAACAGTGAGAGGCAGCTGTGCCTTTGATAATCTCACACTGCAGATATATAGCTATGTGGCTACAGGACAGAGGTACCCAGGCACCAGAGGTGCACTGCTATTTTTCAGGAGGAAATTGATTCAAGTGGTAAATCTATCAGGATTCGGCTTAGATATAATTAATATTTCTAGTTGTTCCCAATATTTCAGGTCTGCTTTAGGCTCCATGCACACTATAATTTTTTTTAAGCTCCTAGAAGCTTGATAGTGTTATACTATGTGTCCATGCACACTACTTTAGGCTATTAGTATTTTTTGAGCTTCAGTGTCTAGGAGCAGAAAAAAAATATTTTTGTACAGTTTTTTGGAGCGTTTTTCTAGCACCAAAAAAAAAAAACACTAAACGCTGCTAACAGCGTTTTTTTTTTTCTATTTTTTTTTTTTTCCCCCTACATGTACTGTAAAAATGCTAATAGCGGTTTTTTATCCAGTGTTTTTCCCAGCATATTTTTAGCTTAAAAAATGCTAGTGTGCATGGAGCCTAAAAGTGCATGTAACAGTAAATGTTTTGTTTTAGGTAGAGTAGGAAATATTTACATTCCTTGTCATGGTTTTTTTTTTGCTATCTGGGTCCAGTCCAAGAAATTTACCACACACAACATAAAATAAGAGGAAATCTTTCTAAAGCAAGGTAAAATCCCCTCCTAAACAGTTGTCTCCAAAACAGGTTTCCCCATTGAAAGGTTTCGCCTCAATTCTGTTGCTGTGACTACTCTAAAATTTTGCATCTTCCATCACTTTTTTTTTTTGTACTGGAAACAATGCTCACAAGCACAAATAGAGAGGGTATATCTCCCCACCAGTGAAATCCTGAGAGGGCTTTTTATACTTCCTCACGCTATCCATACTTCTCCTTTTTATACACTTGTTATGGATCCCAAGACATCCTTTATGATTTGACATTTACTGTGCATTAAGCAAGTAAATATGTGATACTCTTTAGTTAAACATATCTGTGAACAATATGAAATCTGTGTTTATTGTGCCACCAATAAAAATAGCACTTTTTGTAGCATTCCTATGAGAGTTGTGTTTTAAGACCTCTTTTTTGCTCTGTGTCATTCTCAAAGGTTGTTCTCAGGATCCTCTAGCAGATCTGTCTGAAGTTCTGAACACAGACGACGACATTTTTGGTATTCTTTCTGATGATCTTGCAAAAACATCAAATCAGACTGGTAGGTTTTTGCATCATTTTCTCAATTATTGTCTTACTACTTTGCACTGCTCCAGTTCCCCAAGTAAACATGTTTGGTTTCGCCTGTTATTTATCTGCTTACAGTATGTTGTATAGTTTGCTTTTTTTATTTTGTTTTTATTTTCGACACATTTTAAGCATGTTGCCTGACAAATTCACCTCCACCCTTTCTTTATTATCACATCCTCTTTTTCTTTATTATAATCATCCATTTTATCTGGTTTTGGGTTCTGTAGGTCTTGATTTATGCCCTTTCCAGGTTGAGAATTCATCTTCTCCTTTTGGTAAGATGGACAAAGGAAACCCTGCTTCCTCCTTGCTAGACATCTGGTAGCTCTCTGTCTGCTAGCATTCTGTATGCATGAATTGCACGCTACTGCTTTTATGTCTTGTCCTTGTTGCGTGTTTCTCATTGGTCATAAAAATATTTGCTGCCTATGTAGGAAGAAAAGGTTTGTGCCTTTTTTGTTCCAGCCCCTGTAGTTAGGTGTAGTAAAGGGGGGACCAGCATTAGGGCAATAGAAGCTTTCTCTATGAACCTTAAGACGCAAGATTCTATCTCCTTTTTGGCAAAATGTATTTGAAGACATTTTTTTTTAGATGAACTTTTTTCTTCTAGCTTTGTAACATGAAATTGGTATTCAATTTAAAAAAACATAAATGTAATATATTTCAGCTTACCAATTCTTAGATCTGATGGCTACATTTGTTTAATTTTTTTAGGCTTTTTTTTTTCTCTATTTTTACCAGGTGATCTGGCCAGCAAGTCTGTTAATATTTTGTTTCTTTTAACAGATCAAGATGTACAGCAAACATGGCAGAGGATTGGAAAAAAAAAAACATATAACAGTAACGGGTGCTTACAGTAGTCAGATTTTATTAATTTACATTATCTCACAGAAGTGAGTACACCCCTCACATTTTTGTAAATACTTTATTATATATTTTCATGTGACAACACTGAAGAAATGACACTTTACTACAATGTAAAGTAGTGAGTGTACAGCTTGTATAACAGTGTAAATTTGCTGTCCCCTCAAAATAACGCCACACACAGCCATTAATGTCTAAACCACTGGCAACAAGAGTGAGTGCTCCCCTAAGTGAAAATGTCCAAATTGGGCCCAATTAGCTATTTTCCCTCCCCGGTGTCATGTGACTTGTTAGTGTTACAAGGTCTCAGGTGTGAATGGGGAGCAGGTGTGTTAAATTTGGTGTTATCGCTCTCACTCTCTCATACTGGTCACTGGAAGTTCAGCATGGCACCTCATGGCAAAGAACTCTGAGGGTCTGAAAAAAAGAATTTTTGCTCTACATAAAGATGTCCTAGGCTGTAAGAAGATTGCCAAGACCCTGAAACTGTACTGCAGCACAGTGGCCAAGACCGTACAGCGGTTTAACAGGACAGGTTCCACTCAGAACAGGCCTCGCCATGGTCGACCAAAGAGGTTCAGTGCACATGGTCAACGTCATATCCAGAGGTTGTCTTTGGGAAATAGATGTATGAGTGCTGCCAGCATTGCTGAAGAGGTTGAAGGGGGGGTCAGCCTATTAATGCTCAGACCGCACACTGCATCAAATTGGTCTGCATGGCTGTCGTCCCAGAAGGAAGCCTCTTCTAAGGATGATGCACAAGAAAGCCTGCAAACAGTTTGCTGAAGACAAGCAGACCAAGGACATGGATTACTAGAACCATGTCCTGTGGTCTAATGAGACCAAGATAAACATATTTGAGATGGTGTCAAGCGTTTCTGGCGGCAGCCAGGTGAGGAGTACTAAGACAAGTGTGTCTTGCCTACAGTCAAGCATGGTGATGGGAGTGTCATGGTCTGGGGCTGCATGAGTGCTGCCGGCACTGGGAAGTTACAGTTCATTGATGGAAGCATGTACTGTGACATACTGAAGCAGAGTATGGCCGACGGGCAGTATTCCAACATAACGACCCCAAACTCACATTAGAGATGGCCACCACCTTGCTAAAGAAGCTGAGGGTAAAGGTGATGGACTGGCCAAGCATGTCTCCAGACCTAAATCCCATTGAGCATCTGTGGGGCATCCTCAAACGGAAGGGGTTGGAGCACAAGGTCTCTAACATCCACCAGCTCTGTGATGTTGTCATGGGGGAGTGGAAGAGGACTCCAGTGGCAACCTGTGAAGCTCTGGAGAACTTCATGCCCAAGAGGGTTAAGGCAGTGCTGGAAAATTATGGTGGCCCGCACAAAATATTGACACTTTGGGCCCAATTTGGACATTTTCAATTAGGGGTGTACTCACTTTTGTTGCCAGCGGTTTCGCCATTAATGGCTGTGTGTTGAGTTATTTTGAGGGGACAGCAAACTTACGCTGTTATACAAGCTGTAACACTCACTACTTTACATTGTAGTAAAGTGTCATTTCTTCAGTGTTGTCACATGAAAAGATATAATAAAATATTTACAAAAATGTGAGGAGTGTACTGACTTCTGTGAGATATTGTATGTAAAACCTTTGTTCCAAAATAGAATGAACTGTTGCTGTAACTTCTTAACAGTGGCCTTTCCAGTGGTTGAAAATGCTGATGACCAAGTGTGGCTCTGTTGCTCCTTCATAGAAAGTGGAGCTACCCTAAGTCAGGAAGTGTTATTGGCTGGATCACAAGGTGAAAATAAAGGAAAAATAGCATAAAAAAGGGAAACTAATGCATTCACCACCTTTAAGTACCGGTAAGCTGCAATGTTTTTCTGGGGTTTCAGCTTCAGGAAACTTGAAGACCCTCCTTTGCAAAGGGGTTGCACTCAAACTTCAAAGGTTAACTGCTCATTTTTGTTTTGGAGATGGAACAGCACTTTTACTTACCTGATCCTCTGCTGCCCCAGCAGACGTAGCTCCCCCATGCTACAAAGGTGGTCTGTTTTTCAGCATCCTCACATCCAGTTCAGGGCTGTGTTTTCTGCATTGGTCATGAATATGTAAGAGACCCTTAGACTGCCAAAGCATAGGGGAGCAGAGGCTATCAAGACCTGTCTAGCAGTGCAGAGGAGTCTGCATGCATCGGGTAAGTAAAAAGTATCCTATCAAGTCCCCTAGACAAAAATGGACAGTTAATCCTTGCAGTGTGGGTGCAGTCCCACAGGAATTTAGGTTTCCTGGATTTGTGAGAATTTCACTGGCGTATTTTTGAAATATTCAAGAATATTTACCGCTCTGATTAGTATACAAGTACATTCCTGTGCAAAACTACAGCAATACAAGCTTAAGGATAAGCTCGCCTTTTGAAAAAAAAATAAAATAAATAAATGCACATTTTTTGCAGGTAAAAAATGTGCATTTAATATTTTTTTTTCCTAAGGAGCCTGCAGATCATAGGTGCAATGTCAGTATCTGCAGACTCTCAAGATAGCTGTCTGCCTGTACATTACTTGAGAGCAGGAGGATCAATGAACTACAAGAATGCTCACAGTGCCCTCATAGTTCATTGAGAACTACAAGCCATCAGCTACCAGCCGTCAGCCTTAGTGGCTGATGTAAATTGTAGTCTATTCGTTTACAGTTTCCTGTAAATGACGGACGCAACTGTGTGGGTGGAGCCCCGCACTGTTGTGCTGTTTTCAAATTGTGACAGCGGGTATGAGGATACGATCCCCCGTCCGCTGACACCGGAAAGTGGGAGAGAGAGGGGTGCATGCTGAACATGTTACACCCTAAATACAGATCTAACGTGCAGAAATCTGAACTTAGCCTTTAAATTCTGTCTCTTAAAATGGCTACAGGTTTAAATTTTTAGATTTAATAGATTAAACCGTGGCGAATACATTCTTTAAAACTTTAAAAGTTTTATAATTTTGTACCAATTATGAAGGGCATATACACTTGCAAGGAGAATTTTCACCACATGTAAAATTTATATCATGGATGGACATTGCTCTATAGTTTACTCCAGAAAGGAGTCAACTTTGTGTATTTTAGAGTTCAGTAAGCTGTCATAACTCATTGCCTTCTCTGTTACAACTAACATTTAGCCTTAACACCCTTAATGTATTGTATAATTGAATACCTACAGTGTTATTTGGTTGTATGTGGCTAGGAAATAAGGTTTGTTTTTTTATGTACAGCTTACTTGTATGTCTTTGCTAATAAGTTGCATTTATGTTCCTTTTTTTTTTTTTTTTTTTTTTTTTTGAGCTTAAGTCTCTTATCAAGTCAAAGTTCCAGTCCACCCAAAAGCTATATATTTCTTTATATTCCATTTAAGGGACAAAGGAATGTTAGAAAAATTCTTTAAAGTGGTTGTAAACCCTTACATATACTCACTGAAGTGACTAGGCTCAGGTAATGCACAGACATGAAACGAATACTCCTACATTCGTTGTACCTTTTTATTTGTAGCACTGACTTCTCCACAGCCTTATAAAACACACAGATCAAAGGCTATTTCTCAGCTCCAGCAGGCAGGAGTGCCTGTATCTAATGTCACACACTTCATAGCACAGAGAGGAGAGCTGTTTTTAATCTGGGACCTGAGTGGAGGGAATGGACACATCTCCTATTGCACAGTCTTGAGAGAGAAACATGCACAGCAGATGCTATCAATCACTTATTGTGTACTGATGTGTACTGACTGTGGAGTCCGCATGACCTGTCAGAAGCAAATCATGCAGATAGCAGAGGAATGGAAGCAGATACAAATCACGCTAGATTCTTTGTATTGTTGCAAGTACACACTATAGAGGGATATGCTCTGTTCATTTTTCATTACAGAGGTTTACAACCGATTTAACAAGTTAAATTGCTGCCCTCAAGAGTTTGGGACACTGAAAAACAAACAAAAGAAATTAGGCCAGCCATATATAACCCTGCCTACATGTACAGTGTTCACCTTTAATTTTTTTTTTGAAACTTTGAAAAGGTAAATACGTTAAGGTTCTTTTACTTCCTGTCCATTTGTGCTTTATGCCCTGAAAGCCATCACATGTTCATATCCACAGATGTAATCTATTAAGAGATTAGCTGTTCATCAAGTCATCTTTTCTCATCTTGGACTTCCCTCTCCCTGAAGCTAATGTGATATATTAGTGGCGTAAATTAAAAAAAAATATGTTATACTTGCCTGCTCTGTACACAGAGCAGCCCCGATCCTCTGCTTCCCTGTTCGCCCGCTGGCACTTTGGGCCCTTCCCCCCTGCCGAGTGCCCCCATAGCTAGACACTTGCTAACAGAGGACTCTTGTGCTCGCTCCCGCTTTGTGTTTCAAAGACACACAGAATATGACTCGACCCCTGCTCCCGCCTCACAGCCTGTGATTGACAGCAGCGGAAGGCATTGTCTCTGAGCCAATGAGGAGGCAGAGAGCCTGGACAGCATCCGCTGTCATGCATGTTCTGGATCGTGATCTTGAGTATTGGGGGTGCTTCAGGGGTAGCTGCATACTGAAGGGGTTTTTTTTTTACCTTCATGCACAGAATGCATGAAGATAAAAAACCTTCAGGCTTTTACAACCACTTTAATTCTGAACTGCTGGAGGCTTAAGTTGAATGCTCCTAAACCTTACTGGTTTCCGTGAACATGTTTGTCTCTCCAAGCTTCCTTTCCCTAAGCTTAAAGGGTCAGCTATGTTGAGCTTTAGTCTTCCTACTGTTTGTTTTGAATGGTTCTTTGCTATTGGGCATAGCATGTCTGTTGATGGATCTCTTTGATGACTATTGCCCGCCCCTCAATTAGACTGATTTTGGTTATCCTGACTGTTTAAGAATTTCTAACGTTCCTATGTTCCCCAGTTGACAATAAGAAAGAAAAAATAAGAAAATAAGGTTTTTGCACTTTAGGAAAAATATTTTACATGAAGTTCAAAAATCTTTTTCTCAGTTATAGGAGGTTTCTGGTGGGCCAAGTTACCTGCTGCCACCTTATATTTTCTTGGGACTTGAGAATAAGATGTTCCTGAGTTTTAGGGGATTCTTGTCTACTGTGGTCTGCTTGTGCTTCTCATATTGTGTTCTTTGTCATATAAAATAAATGATAAACCTTATAGGGTTATTGGTACCCCTGTCTAGTTGTTGAGGCAGGAATAATGATGACAGTGCAGAGAGTCCTTCAGGGATAAAAGAGATTAGATGTTTAACAGTTTAGGATTTGCTAACAGTTTTTGGGTGGATCTTTGTGTATCTCTTTTGTTTGTGGTCAGATATTTCCCTAAAATATTTTTTTTTTTGTCAGAGTCAGGGACTGTATTAGGAAGACATCTTTTAATGTAAATGCTTATGGTAGCTTTTTTTGTTTGTCCCTGCAGCTGGACTTGATGTAGGTACAATATCAGATGATTCATCATCACTGCCTCAAGCTAGTGTTCCCCAGAGCTCTCGGCCATTATGTGAGGATCAACTGGATGGGATTCTCAGCCCAGAACTAGACAAAATGGTTACAGATGGTAAACATTGCTTTGCTGTATCTTGTTTTATTAACTACTCAATTGCTCCAGTGGGGTGGGCTTAAAAAGCCACGTCAGGTTTATTAAGGTCTGTGTCCCCATTGGAGGTAATTTTTTCCCCCCTCATTTACATTCTCCAATGTGGAAAAAAAACATTTTCTTAGTAAATTGTGGAAAGGGTCAGAACTTTTGTAAGGTTATTATTACTGCCTGTGATCTCCTGTCCAGTGACAACTGCTCCCCTCATTTCTTGCACTGCTGTCACAGAGGGACTCGAAATGAGATTTAATCTACCCAACAGGCTCTCAAGCAATACACTTTAACATAAGTATTTACTTTTTTAAAATCTATCCAAAACTGAGAAAAAGCTTTAGGCTTTAACATTTTTCAGAAGAGCTGCGTTATATTTTTAAATATGTTATTGAGTTATGACATGAAGCCAAAGATCTCAATCAGAAGGTAATAATTGGATCTAATACTTATATAATTGCTTTTGGTTGGAGGAAACTACGGTTACCTCAGCTCATGTCTCTAGACCCCAATGCCACACAGTGAGCCTTGTAGTGATCTCTATAAACAACCTGAATTGTATTCAAAAGGGTTCAGTTCACAGCGGTGTATGGGGGCATTACAATATTACTGAGGTATATTAAAGTACTCTTGTGTGTAGCAGCCGAGGTGATTTTTTTTTTTCATTTTTTGCCCCTAGCTTTTCCACTTATCGCGTGTTTCCTTTTAGAATTTCCCTGTTGTAGTGATTACGAACTGACTTTTTTTTTACTTCCCCTTCAGGTGCAATTTTTGGGAAAACTGTATAAAATTCCAGGTAAATATGACCATCCTAGGTTTACACAATAACGTCGCTCCAGATACCTTTCACTGGAATACATGTTTTAAATATATGGTTCCTGCTCTTTCTGTTGGGTTTGCAGAACTTGAAGGAAAAGAGGTTGAAGATTTATTTACTGCTGTGCTGAGTCCTGTAGCCACCCATCCGCCATCTTTGCCACAACCGCCACCACCTTCAGCTCATCCTCATCCTCCACATACACAGCTCTTGCCTTTGCAAAACCAGGGTAAGTTTGAGTCCTGGTTCCAGCCTTTGTTTCACTTTAAAGGCTTGGTAAAGATGTTTCCCAAAATTTAGATACAGATACGTTGCCCGCTGTCATTTTACTCCTTGGTTGGCTTGGCAACATGTTTTACCAGCAGCTGGGGTTAGGAAAGCATAGAGGTTCACTGTCAATTTTATTTTTTTTTAATCCTTTCTACATTTTTTTTTTTTAATTTTTACAAATATATGACACCTCCAGAACACGTGCTTGCTGAACCTGTGCAAGGCAGTAGAGGAAGGGTGAGGTCATTCTGCACCATGTGTAATCTAATCTTCCTAGCCTTTTAGGTCCATTTCAAAACAGCAGCTTGTTTGTGAACTTGAAAGTTAGTGTTCTGCTTTTGCTTGGAGCATACCATGCACAGGCTTTAAGTGGTAATTATTATTTATATGCAGTCTTTTACATATACTGTGTGCAGCTTGTGTTTCTTAGATCAAGCACCTCCTGGCTCCTATCATTAGCACATCTTTACTACACCTTGTAATAACCGAACCCCTGGGTGCAAATAATGACAAAAAACGTCTTAACCGTTTTCGTGGCCTCCTCTTTTTGCCCTCTGCTCCTTAGTGTTAGTTGTTAGTGTAGAATTTGGAGATGAATAGAAAGGCTTTGAATGGGAAAGAAGCAGGCCAGAAGTGCAGTCAGATAGCTGTGTTAGCTATTTTCATTCCTGGTCTTTGGAATTCTGAGATGCAGTGATGAAGAGTAGGACGTATTCTTTAAATATGTGTATTCAGTCCTAAACATTATAAAAGAAAAAGATTAAACCATGTTGTAATTTTCCAGAGAAGTGTTCTTGGTGCACACAGCCGTAAGACCACATTCTAGCTTTTAGATTTGGAGCTGTGTATGTATCAGTTTCCTAGTGAACCTGTGTGCTGCCTAAACTGACTAGGTAAAGGAAGATTTAAATCACCCCATGCCATTTGAGGCCCCGTGGACATTTTAGGATTAAAAATTACACAGTGTAGAAGTCTGATTTCCTCACAGTGCTTGCATTCTCAATCCGAATGTCATTTCTGGTGTACATGGAATTTTAGGAAGGTTCTTTACATACATACATACACATACATACATACATACATACATACGTACAGTTTTTATGTAATCATGCTAATGTTTGCAAGCAGCAGCAGTGACAATATGAAACTATTTTCAGAGAGGCATCCAAATGATTTTCTGTATGTTAGTGTCTTCTCTTAGTGTGTGCGTTCTGCAGAAAAAGTTTCTGTTCCATGTTAGATTATGGTCTGCAGTAAACCCAAAAGACAACCTCTGACAAAAGTTAAAATCCATTTTGTACAATACTGCTGTGCAAAAAGATTGCGTCACAATCCAACATGAAAACCCCAGTATTCAGTATGTACTGCCACAGTTCAAGCCTTGGGCCTGGTTCACACGGGGCATACTTAAGCGTACACCCGTGGAGGGCCGTGTTTACACGGGGTGTATTAAAGTGTACATCCGTGTTTACCTGCACAGGGATACATAGGTGTTCATGTATTCCTGTGTAGGCAGTCCAATTAATGTCATTTGGGATACAGCAGCTGCAGACAGATTCTGCTACCAATCTGACATCCGTGCAGGTGCACAGCCCCAAAAGCACACTGTTTCTGTGTGCACCCACACGGATGTCAGATTGAGAGCTGAATCTGTGTCTGCAGCTGCTGTGTCCCACTTGACATTAATGGGACTGCCTGCAGAGAGCTGCACAGAACACCTGTTCATCCCTGTGCAGGTTAACATGGACGTAAATTTTAATATGCCCCTTATGAACAAGATTGAACAAGAGCACATACAAAAAATAAACACAGCTTGAAAAAGGCCTGAAGTATTGTCCTTAGAATTGGTCGTTGCGGTGTTTTGTGAACTAGTTTAGTCTATCCTTTGTCCATTGCTGATGCAACAAATTCCTTTTAAGTAAGATTGTAGCCATTTCCCTCCAAACTGAGAAAGGGTCTAAAAGATTGTGCTGGTGGGCAAGTGCATCATGCTTTTTATGTGCATTTAGCTTGCATTTATTGAAACACTTCAGAGATATCATGCACAGTGAATTAACGGATACATTTGACCTGCAGTTGACTTTCTAAGGCTGGCCATGGACCCTAAAGTTTAAATATATAATCTCTGTGCAGTCTTCTTTAGATTTATCAATACTGTGTAATATGGGGACAGATCTATACTATTCATTTAATTAGTACCTAATCAGAGAGGCTGATTGTACAATCAGATTGTATAGTGTTTGGTCAGCTTAAGCTGCATCAACCTGCTGGAAAAGAATGGCTATGAAGTAGAACTGTGGAAATGAAGGCTATAGGGTGCTTGTGTCAAACTAGATGATGCTATATTCATGGTCAGATTTATGGTATTGATAGGTAAACCACTAATCATTGGTCAGATTTATGGTATTGATAGGTAAACCACTAATCATTAAAAAAGAAAAAAAAAAAGGCGCTGAAATCCAACAAACTTCTATTTGCTGCATAGGATTTCTCTATGGATGTCCGGACTGCTGTAAATCTTTGCATCACTTATGACATACATTTGTTTCTTTTCATTGAGGGGCACAGGAAATTCATGGAATGTTGAGTGATATTTCCAGCTATGGGAGAAATACACTGGCAAGCAAAAAAAACTGTGCACCAGCCCAGGATAACCCCTCCTACTCCCAGCCTCAGTTTTGGGCTAGTGTCCTAACAGGTGGGAAGCCTTTTCCTCAGCTCAGTTGAAAATTTTTACATTTTTTCTTGCTTTCAATCAAAATTATTTTTTTTACCTCACTGCTGTTTTCTTGGTTATTTCTGTCACAAATTGTGAACCAATTGAGCTGGTATTTACATTTCAGACCGTTAAAAACTGGTTGTTTGTCTGTGGAGTTCTTTCTGGGTATAGACCTGTGGAACAGCCTTTAGTGTAACCCTGTCCCTAATGGCTCGCTGACTCCGTGATTAGGGCTTCTCAGCCTGAAGCAGATCAGCATTTTCTCAGACAACTTTGAAATCTGTACCCAATCCCAAAGTCTCCTGCCGACACCTCAAAATTAGCAAGGGGTAATTTTGACCCTTATTGAGCGTATTACTCTGCATTTGGAGGATTAGCCTGCCATCTTCATCTTTGTAGAGACCATTCCATTAAACCTGCTAGTTGAAGTTTTTCTTTTTGCGAACTGAAAACATTTTGAAGGGGGTGTCATAACTATTCCCCTTCGAGAAAAACTTAGTAAAGACTATTTCCACCTTTTGCAAAAAAAAAGGGTAGGAGTCAGATATGTTTCATGTGTGCACCCTAACTATAGGCGAAACAAGAAACAAGGTCAGAAAAGTGGACTTGGCATCTAAACAGTGGCCTGTACCTACCATGGGCCTACTAGTGACTCACCTTAATAGGAAACTACTTGGCAGATAGAGAACATGCTAAGCATTATTTTTACTGATTAGCGGTTAGAATCTCTTTTTAAGACACAGTTTTGCTCTGGCAGATTTTGCCCTCAAGTCTTAGGCTGGCAGTGACCTTATTCTGTCAATCTTGCTGAGTGTGTTAGATCCCTCATAAGGCGAACTCTCAACTGCTGGGCTAGACCCCTCTTTCACTGAGCACTCTGGCGTAAGTGCCCCATCAAAGAGCATCTGATTTGCCTATCGTACCAGTGTCAATGTCTCTTGATACCACATTTTTGGATCCCATTGGAGGTTGCTTCATCACAGGGAGAGCTCGGCTGAACCTTGCCCATTTCCTTTGTCCCCTTTTGCGGTAGGTGCCCCCTACGCCTCAGAGTCTTGGCTTTCAGACACCTCATAGGAGTAAACGTCTTGCCTTCAGCAGGTCCCTCTGGGTTGGTCTCATTATGACACCATTGAGATACTACTGTGTATGTACTACTAATGGTTGGGTGTCCTCAAAAAATCAGGAAAAGTGGTCTGGGCTGAAGAGGTTATCTTGGATTGACCCAGAGATTTTTTTTGTTTTCCGGTATCCATTCCTCCCGTAGATGGTAGTTCGACGCTCTACAAATTCCTGTGTCCCTCAACAAATTCCAATAAATAGATTGGAATTTATTAGTCCAATTTTTCTTACGTATCAGAAAATACAGTGGGTGGAAAAAGTTTTTTTTTCTCTTTTGATTTGATAAATCAGCATCCATTATGCAGTCATCAGCCACCCAATCACTTTCCATAAAAGTCAATTCCACTTAAAAATGAAGTTTTCCATTTTACATAGCTGCTGGCAGGTTGAAAAGTGCTGACTTCTTATATTTCTCAGAGGTTGCTAATGAGATGTGCCCATTGAAATTTGCAGTACTTCACAACTGTTGCAGTCATTACAAAATATATCTTTCCTAAATTGGCTTTTCCATTTAGAACCCATCCAGTAGCACTTCTTATAGTGAATTGAACGATTTGGAGTTTTCACAAATAATATCTGAGAACATGTCTGTAGCCTTTTCAAAACAAAAACAAATTGCTTAGAAAACATTTAAACTCAATGAGTGAGAATTAGAAATACATTTGCATGTTGGGGGTCACTTACAGTAGGAATTAAACTGCTCAAAGAAAATCTCACTTTTAGATTATACAAGAAATATAAGAACCCACCCACTAAAACCTGCACTTGCCGTTCTAAATAGAGTTTGCTCCCATTGGCAACTCTTCTTTGTAGATGTAATATTTTAGAGTTTATCTAATTTCTGATTTGTCTTTGAAGTAAGAGTTGATATTATACAAATATGTAATCTGCTATACCTGAAAGCACTAGTTGAGTAGCTGATATTCTAATCCTCAAGCTTCAGTACTTTGAGTCACTGATGTGAAATAAGAAGTCAGGTCACTAGGTACTGGCTTTATGTACTGCCTGCTTTCTGGGGGGTTAGTGCATTAGAAATTGTAAATGCAGAAGGATCAACATGAGACCAAGCAACTAGCATTATTCAATTGAGTTCACCAATGGCAGGCAGTGTATTTTTG